AACTTGAGCGAAGGCTGAGAAAAACTAATTATTACGTTATAAATCCAAAGATGTTCCGTCATCAACGAACTCAAAAGATGTTTCATCATTGAAGAGCTGAAAATAACTTTTTAAATAATAATACTTCTTCAAGTGTTCGTCGAGTGGTTGCATACGCAGCAAAGCTATGCAAATAAAACGGCGTCCTCGAAAGCTGTTTATAATTTCACTTTAATAATGAATCAATGGTCAGAAAAATCGACAATGCATTACAATGTTTTTGTATTTTCCTGAACGAAGGCTGAAGAAGTGACCCCTTTTAATATTATTCTAAAAATTTCCATCATCGAAGAGCTGAAAATAAACTTAAAGATTTAAATCAGTAAATCCAGCCTTAACGGAGGACTCGCGATCACAATAAGCTCCCCCATCACTCATATTCCGAATCTGATTAAATAAGTATTTACAAGTATACAAATAAATATATCAACAAGTAATGTAATTTTCTCTCCGGGAATGGAAAAATAAAATGATTAATTGCTCTGTCATATAAACGTTGAACATACATTAGAGAAAATCAAACAATGTTACGTTGCTTCTTCCAGTTGTGTTTTGATCCTGTTTTAAATATTTGTCATTGAATATATAATAATAATATAATAGGATCTGGGATTTTTTCAAACTCAAACTCCACGGTGGTGCCCATTACACAAGAATAAGCCTCTACTACCGATGATCTTTTAAACCTGGAGACAAAAAAACTACGAAAAAGCGCTTATGCCTTCATTAAATTCTACTCTTAAGCGACGATATAAGATTCTCTTGAATTGGTCGCGTCGCGTTTTCAATTATTCACGGCCCACACAAATTAAAAAAAAAAAATGCATGGACAATTGTCTACACAGGGGGGGGGGGGGGGTCAAGAATCCCAAAATCCTGTCTACGTAGTTAATGAACAGCCCCTAAGAGCAATCTTCAACTGGAACGTACTCACCAAATCAATATATCCGGGAGCACATTCCCGATGCTTATTTTCCTCTCGCAAACCAGTCGTCGACGGGAACTCGGTGAGCAATTTTGTGATACGGAATTTTCACTGAAAAAAAACCACGATTTCACGAATTTCAGCACACCCAACTGCGAAACACGTTCAGACGCACTTTTGGTACACTTTCGATATCAATTTCGTACGAAAACACTTATTTTTTGCAAAAATAGTTGCAAGCGAACCATCATAAATATGGCTCAAATGACTCATAATTCTTAAAAAACTAAAAGCAATTTCCTGGATTCGAACCTGCGTATTCGGCATGCGATCTACAAACGCGGGCAAACACCAATTTAAAATTCATCAAATTATTGTGTTTTGCATTCAAGTTGGTCAGCTGGCCCTGAAAACTCCAACAGTGGGTGGGACAACAGCTGACTTCAATACATCTCAGATGGCGTAGCGGTTCGTGCTGGTGCTCTCACGCAGAAGGACTGGGTTTAATTCTTCAAACAGCTCTAATAAGACTGTACTCGAAAAAAGTGAAACACATTGATTAGTTTGTAACTGTTAAGCGTGTGGATAAAAATTGTTTAAATTTTGATTGCATCTAGCTAAGAGTGTAATGTATACGCTGGCAGTATTTCATCACAATCTGTCGATGGTATCGGAGCAAAAACAGATTTGCCAAAAATCTTGTGCGCCGTCATGGAAAATCCGACTGTGTCCCACAGATGGATCGGGAAACACCTGGGAATCCATCATTCGACGATTTCCCTGGTGATGACCCAGCGGTGGGCAGGCTACGGCACAAAACCGAAGACAACTGACCCGGTGAAGGCCAGGAAGGTGTTGAGTCTGTTCAAGCATCGGCCGAATCTTAAGATCTGCGATGCGGCGAAGAAGGCGGATGATTCCTGATCTTGTTTGTCAAAAAAAAAAAAACGATGAAACGTACTTTGACTATATGTTTAGTATTACTTCTGCGTGAAGTCAACGATTTACATAGTTGAAGATGCTAATTTAAAATAACAGACTAAAGTGGTAATTTTTTAGTCGATAGATGAGGAGGAAATGAAAGTATAGAATTGATAGCTCCGTTTAGAGTACGGCAGTGTGAAAATTGCATATAGAGAGTAGACAGCAAGCTAGGACAACTTTTAGGAAGGTACAAATCGGTTTTATCATCTCTCTAAAACGTGCTGGCATCACCGTCTACAAGGTCCGGAAGGCACCGAACCGGAATGACAAACAAAACACAGTTGCCAAAACCCACGCCAGGAAGTTGTGCCGGGAGCTAGGGGAAGGACAGGTCCAAGTATCAGCATCAACATCGATGGTGGAAATATTAAATATTTTAATATGTGTGATATTTGCGAATCTTATACTTAGTCTGACAGTTGTTTTTTTGTTTTTGACTACTTTTTGGTTTGAAGTGTACATTTGACATGCGTTTAATAAAAATGGATTTCACACCAGATGCAAGTCATTCTCAAGATGATCTTGCTGGCCACCGCTCTGATGATTGCACTTAAATGAAAACACTCAATTTACTACCAGGATTAATCTTACACTTTATTTCAGCCAAAAAACCCCATCCGTCCGTTCACTCCTCGGCAACGACACTCTCTCCCCCTCCGTCTCCTTCCAACCTCCTCTCTCTCACACACCACACGTTCAGCCCTCTCTCCCTGCATGAGGGGCAAGACCCTACATCCCACCCTTCTTTTAATAAACTGTTGAATTCAGTGAGGAACGTAATCCATAAATCTTCTTGGTTCCACTCTCAACCGTTTCGTAGGAGGCAATTCCATCTGTTTTCCCTCTTGTGCATCTTTCAACGGCGATTCGTCCGTCAGCAACTCTTCTCCACTCTGCTGCTCTCGCTCAACTTCCTTGAAATTCCCTGTTGATCCCTGTTCTTGATCCGTCTCTGCCACCTTAAGATGTACCACGTTACGTTTCAGTTTCTTGCCAGATATAGTTGACTGCAAACTAACTTCCGCTCCCACTCTATCTGTTACCTCATACAGTTCCGGTGAGAAATCAGTGGATAGCTTATTGTCCTTTCTCATTCGTTTAACAAAAACCTTATCGCCAACCTTTATTGCATTCGGACGGGCCTTCCGTCTCGCATCTGCGTACACTCTCCCTTTCTCCTTCCACAACCGGTCCCGATCTCGTATTTCACCATCATCATGCATTATCGCTGGAAGCGTCGGCAATTTGCTTCTTATGCGGCGCCCGAACATCATCTCTGAAGGTGACTTCCCAGTAACAGGGTGATCCGTTGCGTGATATGCCAGCAAAAACTTCCTTAGTTCCCTGTGCCAATCCTGACCTAATTCTTGAGCGATGCGCAAGCGTTTTAGAATAGTACGGTTCTGGCGCTCTTCCTCTCCATTCGCCTGAGGCCAATATGGTGTGGTATTTACTAATTCGATCCCAAACTCCTGACAAAATTCTCGGAATTCCTCGCAATCACCGCTAAGCTGTGGTCCATTATCTGCCCTTAGAACTCGAGGAACACCATATCTGCTGAACATTGTAACCAGTTCACCAACGGTGTCTTTCGCAGTAATCGTCGTCATTTCAGCCACTTCAACAAAACGACTATAATAATCAACTGCAACCAACAAGTATTGGCCCTCCGGCAGTGGCCCCAAGAGATCTATCGCTATTTCCTCCCACGGACCCGATGGCAGCTGTTTTCGACGCATTGGCTCCGGTGCATCGGGCGTGGCTACCAGAGTACAGGGCTGACATCTCTTCACGTACACCTCAATCTGCTTGTCCATTTTCGGCCACCAAACCACTGCACGCAAAAATGTCTTCATCATGCGTGTACCCAGATGACCCTCGTGCGCTATCTGCAGCACACGGTTACGCAGTTTATGTGGTACCACCACACGATCAACACGCATTAAAACCTCTCCAACACCGCATAGCTCATTCGCAAAGATCCGATAATCGATAGGCAACTCCTGCAGACTGTTGTTTTGAAGACTTTTCATAACCTGTTGGATTTCAGGATCTTGTTTAGTAGCATCCACTAACTCTCCCCATTCGATAGCCACAGCATCAGCAGACAAATTTGCAATTTCTCTAACCATCACTTCCTCCAATTCATCAAATGCAACCGGTTGAAGAGTGGTCAATCGAGAGAGAACATCTGCAACATTTGATTCTCCGGGAATGTAGGTAATGGAATATTCAAAACTTTGGAGCCGCAGGACCCACCGCTCTATTCTAGCGCATGGTTTAGAGCGTAGAGTGAAAAGATAGATCAAGGCCTTACAGTCAGTAAGCAACTCAAATTCTTTCCCGTATTAGTAAATGTAAAATTTCTCCACGCTCCATACTAGGGCAAGGGCTTCCTTTTCTGTATGGCAATACCGCCGCTCTGTATCTGTTAATGATTTGGATGCGTAACTAATTATGCGATGTTCTCCTTCCTCATCAACTTGTATAAGCATAGCACCCAAGGCTGACGGGCTAGCATCTGCCATCACAAGTGTTCGATCACGTACGTTGAAAAACCCTAGCGCGGCTGAATCAGTCAAAGCCTTTTTAATTTCTTCGAATACTGTGTCGTGTTTGACCGTCCACTTGAAAACCACTCCCTTCTTGGTTAAGTCCCTCAAAGGTTCGTCAATAGTGGCCAAATTGGGAATATAGCGATTTAGATAATTCGCTAGTCCCAAAAAACTACGAGTTTCGTTTGCATTCTCTGGCTTCCTAAATGAAAGCAGAGTCTCAACCTTTTGATGCGAAGGAATTATTCCGTCCTTGGTAATTTTTTGTCCCAAAAATTCAAGCTCAGTTACCCCTATAATACATTTGCTCCAGTTTAGTTGAACATTCCGCTCTTTCAGCCTATGAAGTACCTAAACATGAATCAAATAAAATAAGTAATAGATGTTATCCAGTTTCTTTTATTTCAAACTCTGAATAAATTTCATATCCAATCGAATTTAATTTGTTTCAATATAAAAGCAAATTGGATACTTGACCAAAAAACAAAAACAACTGATCATCCTACCTTATCAAGGCGACTATCATGCTCCGATTTGTTCCTTCCCTCGATATAAATGTCGTCGATGTACCACCAAGTCCCGTCACAACCGGCAAGAATGGAGTCCATGGTCTTTTGAAAAATTTCTGGAGCTGTGACCAGACCAAAAGGCATTCGCTTAAAACGTAACAGTCCTCGGCTAGTGATAAACGACATAATATCTCGGGACTCTTCATCCAGCTCTAACTGCAAAAACGAATCCATCACGTCCAACTTACTCCGAATCATGTTGCCACCAACTCGAGCCAGAAAATCATCGATCAACGGCATGGGATGTCGTTCACGGAGGACTGCCTCATTCACCCTACGCAGATCCAAGCAAATTCTGGGCTCACCATTAGATTTGCCAACGTCCACAAGAGGCGAAACCCAACTGGTTGGACCCTTCTTTTCCTCAATTATGTCCCGCTTAATCAAGTCGTCCAATTTCCGATTAACCGCGTCCTCAAGTGCCACAGGGAGTCTTCTCACTGGTTGGAAAACCGGCTTTACAGCGTGATTCATGTGGATATGAATCTGCAGCCCATTGATCTTAGAGAGTGCCTTAGGTGTAGTATCAACTTGACTAATGTTTACTCCAATCTTGAGTACTCCAAGTTCCTTGGCCGTGGAATCACCCAACAAGCAACGTTGGCCGCTCTTGATCACAAAAAACTTTGCTTCAGCTTGCTTTTGTCCGATTACAATATCAGCTACAAACGTACCCAAGATCACCAAAGGCTGATCACTAGCATATCCTTTCAACACATGTTTACTGCCTTTCTCCGAAACTTTAACGTGCACCCCTTTTGCCTTCAGCACCTCCCATGCCGCTTCCGATACCAGGTTAACCTCTGCCCCCGAGTCGACCAGCATATCTATGTGAACACCGCCTACTTCGCATTCAATTATGTTCGAATCGTTTCCTGTGTAGAACGCATAATATGTTTTCTTGGAATCCTCTTTCTCCGATGCCTCTACCGAATAAACATCCTCCGACGATGTAGAATCCACATTCCTACCAGTAGTTTCAACATAGCGTATTTTCTTCGATGTTGGCCGTGTTTGTGTTTGATCCCCAGACTGTGACTTTCGAATACGGCACTGTGACTCAAAATGTCCCAAGCGCTTGCAGTGGTTACATATCTTACCTCGTGCCGGACACTTCGCTTCCGAGGAAATATGGCCACTAAAACCACATTTGAAACACTTCAAATGATCCTTATTCATACGAGCGTACGCCGTATTGCTCGACGCCGGAGTGTATTTCCTCTGCTTATGGGTCTGAATTTTGTACACCCGTCCTCTCTCGTGTTCTTCTTCGCGAACCATAGTGAAATCTTTGATTTGTTGTTCCACTTCTTCCAGCGATTTTCCGATTTCTTCTATCTCCTCCACCGAACGGTCTTTCTGCAGAATGCGCTTCCGTAACTCCTCCGAGCGGCAGCCTTCTGCAATCGTATCTATCAGCATAATATCGGATAAGATGCATCGCACTTTTTCTGGATATTTTTCGAACCCGCATTCACCAATCTGCTGACGCACACGGACAATGAACTCAGCAAATCGTTCTCCTTGTAGCTGCTTCAACCGTCTTAACTTGTGACGTTCTAGTACATCCTGTCGGCCTGGTTGAAAAAAACGCGTCAAATGCTTGAATGGCCACATCGTAGTACTGCTTTTCCGGCGTCACATAGGAAAACTTCTCCGCATCTGGTAAGTTCTGGAAGAGCGCTTGCAGTTGCGGCCCACCGAAGTGCAACAGCTTTGACCGCTTTTTCTTCTGGTCAATAATGTCTTCCGATTCGAAATAGCATTCCAAGGAACGCTTCCAAATCACCCATTCTCTATGCAGCTTTCCTTTATCCACATCATTACATCTGAATGGAGGCAAAACTCGAGACTGTTCCATCTAGAACAAAATTATTCAAATCCATATACATAGTTTTTTTTTTTTTAAACAAGCGTTCTGAGTTGAATTTAACTCGATTTGATTACTAAACCATCTAAAAAAATCAAAGTCAAAACTCAAACCGATATTACAACCCTGTCAGTATTCGAGTCTGTTATAAGCACCTAGCCAATTCTCAAACCACACTATATCGATTCCCTATCGAGCGCCTGAACCTTGTCAAAGTCCAATTCGATTCCCAAATCGATCATACAAACTCAGTCGATTCCCGAACCGACACTGCATCGATTCCCAAATCGATTATAGCAACACTGTCCACTAATTCGATTACCATACCTATTAAATGACCTCGCTCAACTTTCCAATCAACAACAAATCGATTCCCAAATCGAATGCCTTATCATTGTATACATCCAGTTCGATTCCCAAATCGATTCAATTTTAACTTGGTCGATTCCCAAACCGACACCGCATCGATTCCCAAATCGATTTCATCTAGTTTGTTTTGATTCCCAAATCGCACACATGAAGCTTCCGTTGTTTTTATAGCTCTAAAAATTCCAATTGCAGTGTTCACTCGGCTGTCGACAAAAGCAGGCCACTCTCGATGTGTGCCACGCGATCGTCTGTTTTCTCGGTAGCAACCATTGTGTGGTCCTCCTCATTGTTCTTCATCAGCAGTTCTTTCGGTCGATGCGTCGTCGACTTTGGAAAGCAACCGTTTCGTGATGAGTGTGTGAGTGCTGACCACATTTTGCGTCCATTGCTGCAGTGGACGCGCTCTGACCCTCGTTGGCGTACAACAATTTGCCATACAATGAAACTACTGGAAGTGGCTCCAGTTCTGATGGAGGAGGCTTTTTGGATAGCGGAAGATAAAGTGTTTATTGTGTTGTACCTTTTGACTATAGTTTTAAGATGTATTGTATAGTGACCAAGAATCCTCGGCTCTGTAAAGTTAATTCGGTTGAGCCTTATCAAATAAATTAATAAACATAAAAAAAATAAAAATTCCAATTGGATTTTTTTTTTCCGATTGCCACTTCCATTCTACAATCTTCATCACCTACTTCATTATAGATTCACATTTCACCCGATCTTAAACCAAGACAACTATTCCACCTCGATCATATTCCAAAAAAACAACAACAAATATTCGCACGTTGAACACGTCTCTCAATTCTGCTGCCACAATCCTCTTTTCCTTTCAGTTTTCAGAACACTACTCCTTTCATCAAAAACCCTCCGCACGAGTGTCAGCCATTTTGAAGAAAAATGCGTTTATCTCTTGCCGTATTCGGAAATTTGTTTTCCCAAACGTTTAATCACTTCTGACTAATAAAACTTACCATCCCCTGCTTTCTCCTCGTCGCCAATTGTGATGATTGCACTTAAATGAAAACACTCAATTTACTACCAGGATTAATCTTACACTTTATTTCAGCCAAAAAACCCCATCCGTCCGTTCACTCCTCGGCAACGACCCTCTCTCCCCCTCCGTCTCCTTCCAACCTCCTCTCTCTCACACACCACACGTTCAGCCCTCTCTCCCTGCATGAGGGGCAAGACCCTACAACCGCCACCAAAATCCGCTCCTTGTTCTAAAAAATTCGGCATTATTTGTTAGCTGATCTCAGTGCACATAATCTGTCGCACTTTTGTCCAAGAAAATAGTCATTAAATTCCACGAATTCTTCATCGTCTGCGAACCAATGTGCTGTCCTCCAATGGATCGGGAATCGACTGACTACGCCTCCTCTGTAAACGAAGTCCCAGAGTGATGGTGCCGTGGTCGTATTACACTAGATTTGCCATGAGCCTGCAACTGGCAATATTTTATGCTGGGGTAACGTCCAGTACCGTTTTTATCATGAAAAGTTGAAGTCGAAATCGATCAGAGCTATCGAAAACGAAAATCTTTTCAAAAATGAAAGCTGCAGTAAACATAAACAACAACGGTGAAACGTCAATGAGTGTATGCGTTAAAGTTACACTGTTATTTTTTTTACTTTGAAGCTGTCCGCTTGACAGATAATATCATTAATATTTATACTAAAAATTATAATAATTACCAATTTGAGCAATTTTTACACCAAATATTACTTCAGATCAAGTTGTACTTCCCCTAGGCCGGGAGTGGCTAAATGAAACCGAGGTGCGTCGCGATGGACAACGAGATTTACATGAAGGCGGACACAAAGCAGTTGCCGGGCATGAGTTTTACGTTGGCGCATCACGGTTGACCGTTCGTGAGAAGGTAAGGCCCTGTGGGTGCGGCAAGATGAGCCAGCGAGACGGGTACCATCAAATCTACCAGGACAAGTGCCTCCAGAAGCGTCTTCTATCCTTCCTGTGGTGTCACGGAGTTGAGATGCTGTTTTGGTCGCTGTTAGACTACTACACATACTACAACGTCAACCCACCGAACTCGCCGGAACTTCACCCGATTGAGAAGTATTTGGCCATCATGAAGTCCAAACTTCGTAGAACACCTAAGGTGTTGGAGAACGAGCTGCCTTTGAAGAAACAGTGGGTAAAAGTATCAAAAGAAACTGACTCCACCATTGCACTATGGGCAAAAATGGGTCCAAAATTACCCAAAATTCAATATATCAACAGCACGCTGAATTCCGGCCATGAAAAACAACTTTTCCGAAGGGAAATCGTCCGCGGAATCGATTGCACGTGGTCTCATAGACCGGGAGCCTTGTAGGTATGTGTTTTGGACCATTTTACCCCATTTTCCCCTACTTTTTGGAGGAAATGTTTTTTCACAGCTCTATTTTTCGTAAAACATAAGCACTTTATGCATGGTTTTAGAATACTATGTCTTTAAACAACAGTTCATGAGATATTAGGGGAATGCGGGGTACACTTTATAGGGGGGGTAAGGGGTCAAAGTGAAAATACAATCAATGTTTTTTAATACAAAATCCATTTTTTTTTCAATATCATATTTTTTTCTGAAAAATACGTTTAATTAACTTTCATTTGGTATTTTGAGTTCCGTCATCGGCCAAGCAGTTCAAAAGTTATAAATTTTTGAAAAAAATTGAAAAAAAAATTACCGCCCTAATATATATAAATAGTCACCCTAATGACAAAATACAAAATATGGGTCTAATATGTAGCGATAAGGAACAAAACTACCAATTTTTACAAAATTCTGAGAACCACTACATCGTTTTGTTGTATACAGACAGAAAAAGTGAAAACTCTTTTAAAACAGATAGCAGTAAATTAAAACTTATTTAACCCCAATTAACCTTAAAATTTCGAAAAAAAAATCTTATTATTGCAGGCAACCTTTGGGGTCATTCAAACAATCACATCGTTCAACATTTTTATGAATTAAAATAAATTTAGGGAGGGTTCACGTTTACCCCTTACTCCCCTATAAAGTGTACCCCGTATTCCCCTAATATCTCATGAACTGTTGTTTAAAGACATATTATTCTAAAACCATGCATAGAGTGCTTATGTTTTACGAAAAATAGAGCTGTGAAAAAACATTTCCTCCAAAAAGTAGGGGAAAATGGGGTAAAATGGTCCAAAACACATACTTACAATGCTCTCCGGTCTATGGGAACACGTGCAATCGATTCCCCGGACAATTTCCCTTCGGAAAAGTTGTTTTTCATGGCCGGAATTCAGCGTGCTGTTGAGATATTGAATTTTGGGTAATTTTGGACCCATTTTTGCCCATAGTGCATTGTCCAAAACCTTATGAGTGTTGTAAAGGGCAAGGTGCGGGCATTCCGTTATGGAGCGGAGATTCAATAAAGTAATGAAATAGAAACCTAACCATAATGTTATGGTTTATTCCCTGAAAGTTTGAAGAAAATCCGACATAAAATGAATTTTCGGCGGCCGTTTTTGTGTGTCTCAATATTTTCGAGTACAGTCTTTGCCTGTTCATACCTGGCTTTAGAAATAACTTTCATTAAGACCTGACTTAACAATTAACTTTCATGAAAGTTCAAACTAAACATAAACTTGGTGTAGAGGAGAAAAACAATTTTTTAACTTATTTTCTAAAAGTGGCGTTCAAGTTCCGTCAGAAGCTGCTTAGAATGCTTTTCAGTTGTGGTATTGGAACTTTCCAGTTCTTATAACGACTTAAATATGAGGCTGCTTAGAATTCACCTTCAACCAAGCTGCTTAAACTCATTTATCAGAAATTTTAGTTAAATACTTGGGTAATTTCTAAGAAATACTGAAGAAATTTCCGAGGGAATTTAGATGACAATTTTACTGAGGAAAATTCAAAGGCAATTCAAAAGACAATATTTGTGCAAACGTCAACTAAATGTGTACCTACCCTACTATCAACAACCATGTGCACGGAAACAAATTCGATTCCATTTTCATGAATAAAAAATCATGAAATGAAAAAACTTGCCATCCCATGAAATTGTAACAATGATTCATGATTTCGGGATGCAGAGGAATCAAGACCGTTAAAAGTGTTACACGTACTTGGCAAACCGTGTTCATAAACCACACTACATAGGTATCTCTTATATGCCTTTTGCCTTCCATCTTATACAAGTACTGATAG